ATTGGATTGTTACAAGGAGTAAATGAGAATATATGTAAAACAAAGGCACAGCATCTAACACACAAAAAGCCATTCAAATATTAAAATTTATTGTTTTAATCTGCACAATGTTCTAGAGTTTACAAATACTTTTATTTTTACCTATTATTTTGTTGTTCAAAAATATGAGAGGGCATTATTCCTTTTAGACATTATGTTTACTTATTTATTTTTGCACAGACAATATAAAACTGCAGAAAAATTATATAACATGAAGACTCCATCATATTTTCCTTAATATTTAAATAAATGCAAACATAGATTCCTATTTCTAAGTTTCATAGATTTCTATTTCCTATTTCCCCTTTTTTTGTACAAATGATTGCATCTTACATCACTTACTTTTTCACATAATTTATTTTGTAAATATTTTCATAAAAGTACATAACATTGGAAATAAACTAGGGTTAATTATGTGCAGGGTTTCTATTCTAACTGCTTTATGTATTTTAAGAGCCCTAATCTTTTCTGTCAAACCCTCTGAGATGGTACTCTTGTTAGCCTCATTTTAAAGGTGAGTACACTCAGGCTTAGAGACTGTATGCAAGCTGCCCGAGGTTGTACAGAGATATTCAAATGACAGAACCACTATTTGATCTTATGTTGTCAATATTCCTATCTTCACCTTCTTTAAAAAATTGTATAGTCTTCCATTTTATCCTTTCACCAGGATATATTCAATCAGTTTTATACTGATGAGTAGTTTTTTTTCCTCTTTGTGATCACTAACAACATGGGAATGAATATCATTTTATGTCAGTCACTTTAAACACATTTCAGTTTATTTTTGTAGAATAAATTTCTACAAATGAAACTATTAGATCAAAGATTTTAATTTGTAATTTTGATAGATATTACTAAATATTCTTTCATATAATATGTTTGTATTCCACCAGTATTAAAAAAGCATCTATACACCACAATTTTTTCACAGAAGTGGGTCAGCAAACTTTCAAGTTTTTGCCTATTTAGGAGATAAAAATGGTATTATATAATTTTTTAGCATTTCTTTTTTAATAAATAAGTTTGAGCACTTTAAAAATATTGTGCGAGTTTTTGTACTTTTTTCCCTTGGAACCTTCTGTTTTTCGTCTATTTTTTTGTTGCTGCTGTGTTAATCTTCTGTGAAGTAATTGTTGAGTTCTTTTTACATTAGAAAAATTATTTGCTACCTGGATATGAAGTACGAAAGTTTTTTTCTCTTTGTTATTTTGTTTTGATTTTACTTACTGTTTTGCTATAAAGAAATGTTTTACTCTTGTGTAGAAAATAATTTTTTCTTTCATGGCATCTGGACTTCAAACCATAGTTCGAAAGTCCTTTACTACCCCAGGCATACAAACTAATTAATTCACATTACATATATATGGTTTATGTTTAAAATTTTTAATTCATTTGGAATTTTGCTGGTGTGTCCTGAGAAGTATGGGTTCAAGTGTATTTTTTAGAAAGCTGCCCAATTGTGCCAACAATATTTACTGGGTTAAGCACTGATTTTTTGATTTTAGATGTTGTTTTCATATGCTAAACTCTTAAGTATATTATTGTTTTCTGTTTTTGCTCTGTGTCACATTGTGTTAATTACAGGATGTATATGATGTTTTAATATGCAAAATGGCTAATTTATTGTCTTCTTTTTTGCAGTTTTTATATCTATTTGTATTTTCTTATTTTCCATTAAAAATTTAGAAATAGTTCTAGTTAAAAAAAACAGTGAATTTTTTTGAGATCACATTATATGTTTATTAGGACCTTATTATATTGTATATATTCATCAAAATGATCTTTTGTATAATTCAGAAGTAATTTAAAGTTACTCATATGCCTTTAATATTTCTTAACTTTATTTCTAGCTATTTTATCTTTTTTTTGCCTATTGCAAATTATTTTTTCAATCTTATTTTCTAAGAGTTTATGCTAATAATTTATGTCATTACCAAAATAATACTAATTATATATCGAGGTCATACTATTTTTGTATATTCAATATTTTATCACCTAATTCAAATACCATGTTTCATGTATTAAACTAGATGTTTTTAACTAGATACTTTAAACTAGATGTTTGGCATGTTGTGGCTCACACCTTGTAATCCTAGCACTTTAGGGAGCTGAGGTGGGAGGATACATTGAGGCCAGGAGCTGGAAAGCAGCCTGGTTAACTTAGTGAGACCCCATCTCTACAGAAAAATTAAGAAATTAGCCAGACATTGTGGCAAATGCCTGTAGTTCTAGATACTAGGAAGGCTGAAGCAGGAGGATCACTTGAGTCCAGGAGGTTGAGGCTGCAGTGAGCTTTGATAGTGCTACTGCAGTCTAGCCTGAGCGAGAGCAAAACCCAATCTCAAAAAACGTCCCATATTTTTGTGGTTTGTTAGATGATACAATCTGCATATACTGATAGTCTAAATTCATTATTTCTGATTTTCATACTTACAATGTTCTTTTGTCTAATTTTCTTATTAATAATTCTCACACACCGTTAAACAATAATGTGGATAGAGGATAATCTTGTTTGTTTTTTACTTTAATGGAGAAATATCTGGTATTTGCCATTAAGAATGTTGGTCTTTGGATCGAGATAGTTATGCTAAGGAAAAGTCTAAATTTTAAAACTGATTAAGTGCTTTTGCCAAGAATTTTTATTGAGTGTTGTGAAATAACTTTACAACCTCTATTGACATGATCAAATAATTGTTTTTCATCTGTGATATGATTAATGTATTACTTAATATTGGACTGTTTCTGCACTGTTAGAATAAATAAATCTGCCTTTTCAAGACGTATTATTTGTTAACATGCTGCTAGATTCTGCTTTCTCATATTAGAATTTTTCATTGACAGTAGTAAGTGGTATTGATCTGTAGTCTCTTTTTGAAGACTAACATCATCATACATTGATATATTCAGTTTGTAAAATTATTTCACAATTTTTCCTTCTCTTACCAGTCTGTGAAGCAGTCTAAGTAACATTTCAATTTTGGTTCATGGAAGGTTTGGTAAAATTTCTCTGTGAAGCCTCCTTACCTTCTAATTTGCTGGAATACTCTAACAAATTCATCTACGGGGATTTGTCTCTTAAAATGTTCTAATTCTTGATAATATTAGGAGACATACCTAATGTAGATAACAGGGGTACAGATGCAACAAAGGAACAAGGCATGTACATACCTATGTAACAAATCTGCACATTCTGCATATGTACTCCAGAACTGAATTATATATATGTGTGTGTGTGTGTGTGTGTGTGTGTGTGTGTGTGTGTATACTTATACATGAAACCAAAAGCAATGCAAAAATGTTCTAATTCTTTAAGAGTCTTTTTTTGTAAATTCAAAATTTGCTAGAAAATAATGTTTATCCTTGTTTTCAAATTTACCTTGGATATGTAAAGTTTACGTAAAGTTTCTTAATGATTAATTAAAATTTGAGGTATCATTATTAACACCATATCTGAAGCCAGAAAACTGAATTTGGTGCAACATTGAAGTCCAATTTACATAATTAGGAGATAGAACCAGGCCTTTTGACTCATTTTGGCTCCATTTTCTGAACCTCATTGCACATTCCTCCCCATCCACCCTCTCAGCCCCACCCACCATATTCCAGCTGCCAGACAATGCAGGGCACTGAAATGTAAAGTCGTTGTCAGGTGCTGATAAGAGTCCCATTAAAATAATGTTTCTTTTGCTATTACAGCATTATTTGTCCTGTCAAATTTCTTCACTGAAGATAAATTCTGGCCATCCTTTACTAAAATTAAGCATCCTCAATGTAACTAAGGGGACAATGATCAAAATGACATCCTGTCATATATTAAAGGAATTGATTTCTTCTTTAAAATTAAAAAAATACAAATTGCTTTTTTGCAATCTTTGCAATGGAGTAACTGCAGGTAGAGAATATAACTCAATACAACCAGCTAAAGATGTACTTAAGAAAAAGCATCTCGCAGAAATATTTGCTAGCTCATGTTATTCTCCACCCAGAGTGAAAGGGTGTATTGCAATCGAATTCTGATTTAAAAAAAATAAATATAGCCAGTATATTATTTAGAGGAGACAGTCTTGGAAACACGATGGTTTATGGCATGATTTTGACATATCAATTGATTTTAGTTTTTAGACTGACAAAAAAAATTTATTCCACTGAGAAAAGCATAATTGAGTATCTTTTGTAAGTATAATAAAATGATCAATTCTGCTCCACTATTAGTGCCAGGCAATTTCTAATCCTGCAACCAAGAACACGGAGCACAGAACACAGTATAGTCTCTTATGAACCTGAACTTGTTATCATTCATTATGGGCTTAACTTATGAAGCTAAATAGAATGACACCATAGGGAGTCTATAGTATCTCTCCAATTCCACTGTCGACTACTCCTGCTTGTTTACTAAGTTTCAGCCACTCTGGCTGTCTTTTCAGTTCCTTATATGTATTCAGTTTTACTTGCCTCAGGACCTTTGTCTTGGCTGCCTTTCTCTCATTGGGGCAAGCTTTTTCAAGATCTCCATATGGTTGGCTCTTTGTCATAATTCAGATCTCAGCTAAAATGCCACCTTCTCAGAGATGTATTCCCCAACTACACTCATTATTGTCCCGAGTAAAAAATAAGTGTCAATAATCTCCACTGGGCATTGGACCTCTGAAGAGTATTTAAGGTCAAGGTAAAGGAAGTTTTGAATACAGAGTTTTTTTTTTTAAAAGTCCCTGGTTTTGTAATGTGTTTGAAATGAGAATGGTTTACAATTGAAAGAGTCCATTTCAAATGGCCTTAACAAAAGTACTGGGTTCTTTCATAAAAATTAATCTCATAAAAGCTTAGTATTTTAAAGCATCAATTTAAAAAGCTTATATAAGACAGAACAAATTTGTTTTTAATTTAAAACTTTCATGTTTTATCATTGACATTACAAATGTTTCTACATTCATACTGCATTACATTTTTTTTTAATTCAGTATCTATAGAGATTGTCTAAAATTGCCAATGCTGACTATATCTCAAGTCGTCATGGCAGGGCATTGGGAGAAGTTTCCAATTAGCAATAGTCGCACTTCGGATAAAACTCATTGGCTACGGTAATACCACTGTGCAAAGCTGCATTACATTTTTCATGTTTACAATATTGCATTAGAAATTCACCTCACTCAACTGCAGAGATATTGATGAAGACTTCAGAAGGCATCTTATTCATCTAAATATGATCCAATCAGGCAAAAGATTGCATCATATCTATACACTTTTCTACTAGAATATAAACTACATTATAAAGATCATGCTTTCTTTTTTGTCAATTAATAATCCTAGCGCCACAAAAATTATGACATGCCATAAAAGTACAACAGGGGTATCATCCATAATATTATTGTTGTTTTATAATAGAAATAAGAAATGCATATATAAAAGAATGACTTAGATAGCCTGACATTCAGAAATAAATACTAATAACATTAGAGAAGTCGTCATAAGAAAACATTTTAATTGTGTAAAGAACAAAATCCTGGACTGAGGAGGAAACGACATGGGTTAAACTTATCAGAGAAAATTTCAGAGGATTGTTGGAATGTAACTAGCGATATTGAATGAGCATGAGATATAGATAATATATTGAGGAAATTTGCTTCCTAGATCTTTTAAGAGTTTGTGTAGACTCATAAAGTTACATATTAATATATTCTAACTATAGATTTAAATGTTGATGATGTGTGCACAAATATACAAGAACTCACATATATGACTGACTTTGTTTCTATTAGAAGCAATAAATTGCTAAATTTGGAAGCAGCACAAAATTCAACTCAATCGAACTATCATCTGCTCTGTTGCAGAAGTCAATGAGGTCTGTTCTGTGTTATGCTTTCCCCTGGAGCAAAGCGTTTATAGAAGTTAATTTCCTATTAACCAGAGGTTATTATCTTAATGTCTCTATTTGGAACTATGCTCATGTCCTTGTGCTTAGCAGAAGTCTAACAGCTGGACAAGTGGGACTTTATAACAAAAGTAAACTGTTAATTCATCTTAGAAATAAAATGCATAGATTGTATTATCTTATAAATATTTATCTTTAATAGCATAATTCAAGAATCACAATTTATGAGTACCTTTATAAGATCAAGGTTAAAGAGATTACTAAAACACCAATACAAATGAGAAATTTACAGGAAGGGTCTTCTGAGTAAACTTTTCAAATGGTTAATATTTTAATTCTGATATTTTGGTATCTTTTGCTATTCATAATTCAATCAGAAAATATATGTACCTTTTTATTCTATAATAGTTTGATCTGTACTTTAAAATTCCTGCCTGCATGTAAGTGGAATTTTTATTCTAGTAGTCTATAAAATAGAGATTATATTCCCTTTATCTCACTTCTCTAAGAATATGTTAATGTTGACTATAATTTTTTAGACAAAGCTAAACTGCTTAGACTGAAAATAAGTATATTTAAAAACTAAACAGTGTTTTAAATAAGCTTCAGTTACATATGAAAAGCTTTTTCTTAACTATGAAAATGAGATTCAGATCTAAACTTGTATTAATAGATATAATCCTTTATTATTACACTGTATAATTCAAAATCTATTTAATCTCATAAATGGAATTCCCAAATAAACAGACATTTGTGAAAAGCTTTTCTTTGAAAGTGAATATATTTTGACCTTTGAAAATCTGCAAATAAACAAAATCCTTACTTGATCACATAAGAATGTGTTTTTTTTTGCTGTCCTTGTTCATAATTACAATATAGCAGTTTATATACATAAGATATCTAATATACAGTATTAGATATATTATTTTCACTATTATATATCTAATTTAGTGGCCAAATTTGATTATATCTAACCTTAAAGCTCCTCTTGCCGAAACCTAACATACAATGTTACGACTGTTATTCATGTTGTTTAAACAAATGTGTAATCTTGGCATGTTAAGTATTTTATTGTTTGAATTAATATCATCTTAAATGCAAAGTATAATGCAAAGAAATACAACTAATTGAATCATTTAATTAGTTTAATTCAACTCACATTTTTGAGCCTATGTCATGTAACCCATAATGGGCTAGTGTAAGAGATACACACGTTTTTATCAACCTCAGGTTGTTCATAGCCTAGGGGAGAAGAATGAAACATCAGAAATAACTGCAATTCCGCACAGTAGGTGTCGTAATAGATGTGTACACATGGCTGCACAGAGGGGTCCAATTTTGTCAAGACTGAGTGAGGATTGCAGGGAGTAGAGATGCTCTGAATTGAGTGTTAAAGGGTGGCAACGATTGGGACAATTAGTTCTGGTTTGTGTGGTGTGTGGAAAGAGAACCAATAATCCAGAATGAGGGAGAAACTTGTGAAAAGACTGGAGGTAAGAAACAACTCCAGTGCTGAGAACTGTAGGAGTACCACTTCCATGGCTCTTGAATTTTTGTTTCCAGGTCTGGAAGGTAATATAGCAATTAAGCTTTGGGATCAGACAAACCTGTGATGAAATCACACTAGTTGTCTGACATATTTGGGATCTGACTTGGGGAAAGTTATCTATTTCTTCTAAGCCTCACTTGCCTCATCCATAAACATAGATAAGGGTTCCTGATTCCCAAGGTGGCTGTGAGGATTAAAAGAGATAATGTGATGTTTATGATGTCTGAAGACACTTGATTTTCCATTAATAGTATCCTTGACCTTCTTCATGCTAGTATTCTATACAGTTGATGCCTAAGTAGGGTATTTAGGAGTTCCTTAGAGGATCTTGATATCAAGATCAAAATCATGTTACTTATACCACATGAACAAGGATTTTTTTCTCTCTTTCATGTTTACAGCAGATATCCCTAAGCCTACAAGGTAAACGTGATTTTTAACTTGAAAAAGACTGCGAGTCTATTGTTCTTGCTAGAAAATAACAGTAATGTCACCTACATTTGTATTTTATTGTTTTAAAGCACTTTCACATAAAACCTCTGAAAAATATGTGATAAAGTTCTACTGAAATTAGTCCCATTTGATAGGCAGTAAACTATTCAAGTAAGATCAGTAAATTACTCAAAACCTACATATTTTGGCTTACTCTGGAGTCTCACTCTATGCACATCAATCATATCACCTTAGTACATGAGAAACTTAATAGTATTGAGATTTATAATTATTGTTTGGCACTATGATGCTGCCAACATAAGGTAATATACAGTCATGCAAATTCATCCCATTATGTATGTCAGATCACTGGTTTGTGGTGATTAAATTATATTAAAGGTGTATCATGTGCAGATGTGCACACCAATGCTAACAGACAAACACAAACAGCAGCTTAAAATTAGAAGACGAGCGAGTTTTGTCTGTATTTGCTTTAAACTAGCAGCCTATCTTTAATTTCCACTACAACAAATATTTATGGAGCTTCAGTTATGTACAAAACATTATACTAAGTAGCAGTGGGACATACAAATATAACGGTTAGCCTTAAGCAACAGAGAGCTATTAGGGATTTAGATAGGAAAACAAATAATTGTAACAGGCTATATACAAGTTATATGGCTTTATAGCTATATAAAACTGCTGTAAAGCTAATGCCACAGCATGGAAAAACCAGAAACCTAGGAAAAATAGAGTTGTTTCTGAAGAAGAGAGAAAAGACATACATGACATCTTATCCACAAACAAGCAGAAAACAGTATTTGCATTATTGAAGAGATATCCACTTGTATGCATCAATTGACACAAATATAATGCTGAGACAACTTCCCTGGGACAATAGTAATTATTTTTAAAATGCACCCCATTTTATACTCATCACCAGTCCCTCTTAACCTCAATTTTGCAGTCTCGTGGTAATTCAGCAAGCTACTTAGAGGCTGAAATTGTTCCAAGCTTAAAGAGTCAGAATCTCCAGGTGCTAAGGTTGTCTCAGGAAATAATTCTAGATCCAATTAACTTCAGGATGTTAGGCACTCATGTGTATTAGTTCTAAATTTGTAAGTAAAATTGTTTATAATGTTTGACTTTTTTCCGCCAGATAAAGTGGCTCCAACAAGACCAGGAGATTATGATATAATCCTTACTTGGGCTATTTAATGTCACAAACTATCAAAGAAGGAAGAAATTCCAAACCCTGGCTAGCCCTTGTAGTTAATGTACGTTGAGGTCTTATCCATCCCCACTGCCCAAACAATATGTTATCCCATGTTTGAGTAAGTGCATCTAAAATAATGCCTTGGAAGCTTCAGCAAAACAATTAGCAGTAGTTTATGCTTTTCAAGTCCTGCAGAAAATTTCAGGGAAGATGTGAAGGTGTGGGTTCTTTAACTTCAGTGTCTTTCCTAGACTTTGGATCCATGGGAGTTGGAAATATTATTTTATCCTTTCAGTTTTTCTGCAGATATGTGTTGATTTAGACACAGCAACACATACATACACATCTCCCAAGGGCAGATGTTGATTCAAAAACAGTAATTTCTAAACAGGATTTAATCCCATAAAGAGGCAAAGAAACAGTTTCTTAGTAATCCCTTAATTTGCAAAGTGATATTTTTCATTGTGATAATTTTGCTTAAGGATATGAATAAACACTGTGTTCAGTCATCTTCTCCAATTGTTTACAACTTTGCTATGTAAAGCCTGCTAGGCATAAGAAGCATCTTCCTTGCACTAAACTACACACTTGATGATGACGGCTTTCTTAACTCCGCATAGACCTAGTTGAAATGTTGAGTTTTATGCTTTGGGGCATCTAATCAAATTCACAAACAGAACCACCTTCTTTCCTGTATCTGTCTTAGAGTGGTAGTATGGTGTTACTCATTTGGTTACTCCTTCATTAGTTCACTTTCCTTCTATTATTGCCTTCAAATTTTTTCTAACCTATGACATTGTGATATATTTCCTAATGCACTGAGTGTAAGTCTACTCTGTTTTGTCACGTAACTGTCCACTTATCCACACTGCAGGCCTATTGCTTTGTGTATGTTAGTCTTAATCTCCTAACCAAACAAAGCAATTTTTAAGAACAGAAACTGAAATTAATACTTTCAGCATTCTCTAGAGCATCTAGGAGCATCAGCACCTGGTGCTGTCCAGTAAAGATTTCTCTGATGATGGAAATGTCC